GCGTCGTTGTCACAACATGGCTGTTGTGAGATGCTCTCTGTCTATTGTGAGATGCTCAAGTTCCATAGAAACATGGTTTTTTTCCTCCAACCAGGGTGTGAAAAATGTCAAGCCCTAATCCAAGATTCTGGGTTGAATATCGTTTTAGTTACTACAACCCTACTTGTCAATTCGAGTCATATTTGGTTCTGAACCGGTTTCTGGAGCAACTAGAGCACCGAACTCATTTGAATGGAGCAATGTTATCTATTTCAACCAGTTTCCTTCTCAATTAGTATCTTTTAAGTTCACCGAGCCGTCAGATGGTCTTAATGATTTGGTTTTGGGTTCAAAGAGGATGCTTATATCCGATTTTTTATTTTTGTGATTACAAGATGTTTAAATCGAACCGAACTTATATCTCACCTTGAATTCATTCAAAAAAAAAATTGATACTTTAGTAAATAAAATTCAATGATCAATATAATATAACACAAAAGTTAAGTGATCAAATTGGTACATAACCACCAGAATCTCTCAACAAATTGCCTCCCAATGAATCAGCGACTTGTCCACATCCTTGTTCTCCCTGCAAATGTTCTGTTTGGTGATCGGTGGTGCACTGGTGCTTATAGGTCATCATCCACTAATAACACAATGAGCCCCCAAAGAAAGAAATTATATATGAAAAAGAAAGGCTTAATTGCAAGTTTGGTCACTCGAATTACTAGTAAATTTTACGTTAGCCACTAGAATTACTTTATTCCATCCGTAGTCACTTAAATTGGGTTAGCAGTCCAAGTTTGGTCACTGGCCGTTAGTCTCCGTTAACTTTTGCTGATGTGGCAGTCAACTGTCACTGTAGACCTTTAAGTGAGTGATGTGGCAATTAAAAAAATAATAAATAATAATTATTTTTTATTTTCCACCTAATTATTATAAAAATTAAATTAAATATATTTATTTTTTATTTATCATTTCCTTTTTTTCTCTGCAAGCCCAAAAGAGAAGAAACCACTATCCACCCTTTCGTCATCTTCTCCTTCATATTATCATCATCCTAGTTAACACAAAGGAAGGAAGCTGAGAGCTCATTATAGAAACCCACATCACCAACTATTTACTGTGGGCGCCCAGCAGCAGGGCGCGGAAATAGTCGTCGGAGGAAGAGTAGAGGTTGCTGCTGTTTTCACCCTCGCACTCCTGGAAGAATTGTAGTCCTGCTGTCGCCTCGTCTTCCCACACGGGCTCGGCCAGAAGCAGAGCCATCGGCTCCTCTAGCTCGATCGAAGATGGCGTCGGAGGAATCGACTAGGTATTTGTTTCCGGATCGGTGGAGTCCTCGCTGGATTGGTTTCTGAATCGGCTAGGTATTTGTGCGACTCGTCGTCGGAATCGTACCTGGAGGTTGAGCTGGAATCTCGTCGCCGGAATCGTACCAGGTGGCGGAGGCGTAGCCGCATCGCATCACCACCACTTACCAGAAAACCGCTCTCTCCTCGACAGCTTTCGGAAGAAAAGAAGGGAAACCCAAACTATCCGCCGCCGAGGAAACAAAGAAACGAGGACGGAAATGGGCAGTGGTGATGGTTCCCCTGCTACAGACGATGGCCTTCCACGCCTGGCCCGACATTGCGATGGAGAAAACCAACATCAATTCGAGATTCAGAATCAGAGGCTATCCTTTAAGAATTGTGCTCTAGTCTCTAGATGGTGTCGATTTTGGAGAGAAAGACGTGGTCGGAGCTGACGACCTCGGCGGAGAAGAATCATCCTCCGTCGTTGCCGTTGCTTGTGACATTTTTTTATTTTTTTTATTTATTGTAATAATGAGGTGGAAATTATTAAAAATTAAATCTTATTATTTATTATTTTTTAATTGCCACATCACCCACATAACGGTCAACAGTGAGAGTTGACCGCCACATCAGCAAAAGTTAACGGAGACTAACGGCGAGTGACCAAACTTGGACTGTTAACCCAATTTAAGTGACTACGGATGGAATAAAGTAATTCTAGTGGCTAACGTAAAATTTACTGGTAATTCAAGTGACCAAACTTGCAATTTAGCCGAAAAAGAAAGTAAGTGAAGGAAGATTCCATCCATGGTAGAGGTGGCAATTGGATCGGATTCGTGGATCCGTGGATCGGATTCGTGGATTCATGGATCAAATGGATTGGATTCATGGATTGGATCCAATGGATTGGTGGATTGATCCATGAATCCAAATAACATCCAAGGCTTGGACCAAAATGTAAATTTTGAAAAGTTTAGGTACTAAAATGTCATAATGAAAAATTTTAGGTACCAAAATGTAATTTTCCAATGATATTTTTCGTATAAAAATATAAATTTTAGGTACCAAAATGTAAAATATAAAAATATAGGTATCAAATCGTAATTTGTCATTTCGATCCGTGGATTGATCCATGAATCCACCAATCCAATTGGATTTGGATCAAATGGATTGGATTTAAATGGATTGGATTAGGTGGATAATTTGGTGGATGGATTAGATTGGATTCATGGATTTGGATCCTAATTGCCACCTCTAATCCATGGAATTATGTGTATTGTCATAATCCTTATAGTATATGGATCCAAATATTATCCACACTCTAAGCATCCAATTCATCTATAACTTTGTTTATCAATATTAAGCTACTATATATAAATTACACATAATGATTTCTCATATATGATACTCGCGATTCTATATACATATATGTGATTCAGAGTAGCGTACGTCTGATGAACTTGAGATTACATTCTCAATTCCTTCCCAAATCACCATCAAACATAGTAGCATATCAATGGTTAAATAACAGTTGAGTACGAACAAGAATATTATCACATATTTTTAACAATTGAGATCACATGCACTTGATTCGAATTTTGGAAAAACCATAAATGTTAAGAGGCCCCAAACTTTAATCTAATCCGACGAGAAGACATCTTTTGTTAGGTATACGTATAAGAAATCCAGAGAACTCCATCGGTGCCAAAAAAAAAACGGAGAGCTCCATATGATCATTACAACAACTACTCGCGTAGAAGTGAAAAAGGAAAAACAGAAGAGTTTAAACGCCAAGTACATATGAACACTTGGCTGGCAGCTTAACACATACGTACTAGATACAGATTCATCCATAACCAATGAAACCATGAATAATATATGCTTCGATCTGAAATTTAAAAAGTTGGAAAGATCCAATGAAAAACTCTAATCATCATCGTCATCAATAGGAAAGATTCCAATATACACAAGGGCTTCATCACGTCAGCATGGGAATATACTTGACAATGAACACTTGAGTGAGAGATATGGTTCGGCAGGGCCGCCTAATGTTTGTAGGAATCGCACAAAATGACATTTGATGGTGAGCCTGCCAGCTTACTTCAGTTTTGATTATGGTTGGGCTGCCTAACAATGTAATTTCTTTAACAATCAAGGCTAGTGGAGATGGTAATTAAGGCGCACGTTGGAATCTAGTACGTTCGTTTCTTGATGTCAGAACTCACTTACAGATTGGATTACTCGAAATTCTCGTTAAATTTTTATTTTATGTGAATTGTGATTAATTGATTATAACACATATAGTTAGGGATGGCAATCAAACCCATGGTCGCGGGTACCCGACCGCCCCCGACCCAGTCAACGCGGGGAATCCCCGCTTTGACCGGGTATGGGTAAAACCCGCAAAAAGTTTGATGGGTATGGGGCGGGTATGGTTTTAGCCTCCCCCGCCCCATACCCATACCCATACCCGCCCCACCAAGAGAATTTCTTCACATATAAAAAAATATGGGGATTAAATTGTAATCTATCAATGATGATGATGATAACTCGAGAAAATAAATAGTAGAAATGCAATTGAGTAACCACCTTAATCAAAACCTAATTCATTTCCCTCAATTCTCCTTCCACTCTTTCACTTTCCCTCTTGTCAACAAGATTATGTTAGTTAATTATTACTTAATAAATGTATCAAGAGTTAGAGCATAATAATTTAAAAAATATTGTAGTCTATATTATGTATTAATGGATGTTTTAGGATCATATTCTTTGAATCGTATTTAGAAAATGACCGTGTTTTGTTGACTTCATGATATAATAGGTTTGTTTATGGTTATAATTAAAACTTTTCTTGTAAGTGTTAGGTATAATAATGTTGGATGTACGGGGATGGGTATTACCCATGGGTACCCGAAACCCACGGGTATGGGGATGGGTTTGCAAAACATTCCCCCGCATGGGTATGGGGCGGGTATGTATTTGGGTATTTGAAGATGGGGATGGGGATGGTTTAGGCAAACCCGCCCCAAACCCGCCCCATTGCCATCCCTACATATAGCTAGAGAGAATTGACGACCAAGGGCATTGCTTTCTAAAAGAAAAAGTAGTAAATCAAAGGGTTATGTCCCTTCTACCAATATGATATCTTATGTAAGCAGTTGTAGTAAACTCTGACAAAGACTTCCTTAATTCCTTCCTATGTGATGGCCGTTTTCTTTGCTTGGGATCTCATTATTCCCCAGCACACACGTAATTTTTCTTGCTTTTGATCTCATCTACTTTTGTGAAGGAATAGAGGTTCAGATCCAATAGAAGCTAAAGAATGGATTCAGCGGCTAAGGGGTAAGCAAGATCCATAAGTCAGCGAGAATGGCCAGGAACCATTCGTCAGATCGCTTCTGACGGTCGTGATGATCCTGTTCACCACGTCTGATTTTAGCGATTTAGCAAACATGTATAAATTGGGAATATTTTGTGTATATTTTGTGAATTTTATTTCAAATACATGTGTTCTTTGTGGGAAAAAATACAGTATTTTCCTCTAACTCCTTTACAGTAATTTAACTTCAGATTGGCGCAAATAAGTAAAGTTTAGAGATTGTTTAGAAAATTATTATATTTTCTCTAGCAAATACGGAATCATGTTAGAGAAAGATTCCCGCATTGTGAATCTCATGTTAACTACAGTCCCCAAGCTCCCTCCCTCCGTATATATATTTGATCCCCTCCGCCCTCCACCCTTCAAAATCAGGAAGCGATTTTAATTCAAATAAATCCCTCCTCCCTTCCAAGATTCTCGCTTACTCCGGAATCCCCCAAACATTTCAATGGCGTTTCGGAAATTGATCTACAAGCGTCTCTCCCTCGGCGGCAGCCGATCCCCCTCGCCGGCCGTCGACCACCCGCCCAAACCCACCGTTCTCCGAGATTCCGCCACCGCCGCCGCAGAGGGCGGAGTCAATTCCCATTCCAATTCCAGGCGCTTCTATCACCGGACGGCGCTGAGAAACCACTTGCCGTATTTCCTCTCCTTTCCCGTTGGCGAGAAGCTGAGGGAGCAGCTCCGCCTCGTCAACTTCGCCGACAACCGGCTTCAGCTCACCGGACTCAATCCTCCGCCGAGCGAGCACCGTGGATTTTCAATTGAGGAGGCGAGGAAGATCTTGAGGCTCAATCAGATGGAGAAGCTAAAAGCGAGGCTGAGGAAGATCCCGGCGAGCTCGATCCCGTTGCCGGAGTTCGCCCAGATCTGCGTCCAGGAATGCGGGAAGAACGAAGAGCAAGGCGCCGAGTTCGCCAAAACGCTCGACCGGGCAGGAAACGTCATCGTTTTGGGCAACATCGTCTTCCTTAGACCCGCACAGGTATATTAATTCTCATCTAATCAGTAATCAACTTCCTTAAGAGCGTTTAATTAGTAATTAAGTTGTTAATTACTGTTTGTAAAACAGGTAGCTAAATCGATGGAGATCACAATCTCGCAATCAATAGGGGTCCAGAACGATCCAAGGAGGAGAGCGCTGGAGGAGATGGAGAAGCAGAAGGCCGTGATCGACGAAAGGGCCAGAGCCCAAGTCCGGGCCGAGCTGTACTGTGGGCTGGGCTATTTGACGGCCCAAACTGTGGGGTTCATGAGGCTGACGTTCTGGGAGCTGAGCTGGGACGTGATGGAGCCCATTTGCTTCTTCGCGGCCTCGGTCCATTTCGGGCTGGCCTATGCGTTCTTCCTGAGGACGTCCACGGAGCCCACATTCGAGGGTTACTTCCGCAGGAGGTTTCAGGGCAAGCAGAAGAAGCTGATGAAGCTTCAGGGCTTTGACCTGGAGAAGTATGAGCAACTCTGTCGGGCTTTTGAACATTCGAGATGTGGGTAATATGGGGATTTCGCCTCTGGAAACTGTAACCGTGGAGAAGAGCTTTGTGGGGTCAGGTGGCATGACCTTAGAGAGAAAAAACTTACATGGACTTGACAAATAATGAAAGTAGAAGATAGTGACGAAAATGGAATATTTGAGTATGGGAAGTACTGGAGCTAGAAGTCATTTCTTTTTGGGATTATCTTGGTCATTGTAAATTGATGGGATTTTTTTTTTTTTGTTAACATCCTGCTTATATTTGGATTAATTAGTACTCAAGTGGTCAAATCCTAGATGATTAAAAAGGACCGCATCCATATATGTTGTATCTAAATAGGTTGTGGAGAACATAACATGTCAGTTGGAATTTTTAGTGTATGACATATATATATATATATATATATATATATATATATATATATATATATATATATATATATATATATATATATTTTATCATAACCTGCATAAAGTTTTATTAAACAATGGAGGTTGTTATATCATCGAGCTTAAGCTGATCAAGCAAATAAATCGGTGGCCGGTCAAACCAGATCTCAGGCCCCACCCCCCATCTAGTCTCCGCGTGTGCCATGATATGAGCTGCCCCATTTGCTTCACGGAAGACGTGTCGCACTGATCCTGAGGCTTCCTCCCCCAATAGACTTCTAATATTTCGACAAACTACACCCAGCTCCGTCAGATTCACATCGGCCCCCACAATTGCATTGACCACAATTAGACTATCCAATTCCAGGGCAGGACGTCCAAGACGATGTTGGTGGACAAGTTGTAAACCAAATTCGGCAGCCAAGGCCTCACCCATCTCCGGCGCCGCAACCCCTCTGATCTTCTTTGCCGCTGCTAAAATAAATTGCCCATTGTGATCGCGAATAACAACGCCCAGTCCTGTACCATTTCCAAAGTAACCAACATCAGTGTTGACTTTAATCCTCCCTTCCTCCGGTCGGGCCCAACGTCGCACGCCCTGGGGGGGTTGCCCGGCTTCATTTTCCAATTGTTGCAGCCGATAGTCATCGAGGATAGCCCTTGCTCGCGGGATGATCTCTCCCTCCACCATCTTTTCGCTGTTGAAGCACTGGGCATTGCGCTCCTTCCACAACATCCATAGTACCATGGCCCAGTCCGCAAACACCTCCTCTGCCACACTCTCCCCCACCTTAGCAACCCAATCCATGCACTCACGTCCTCCCCTAAGCATAAAGCAATCGCTTACATGAGAGACCCTCCAATGTCTACTCGCCCATGCACAGTCGAAGAAGAGGTGAGTCTGAGTTTCTTTCAGATTGCAAAATGGGCAATCATCGCCCCGCCTCGTACTTCGTACACTGACATGGTCGCCCGTAGCTAGGGAATCTCGCGCAAACCGCCACATAAAAATTTGGACTTTTCGAGGCACTTTCATCGACCAAATCATGTTCAACATAGATGCTTCTCCTACTGCTACCAGTCCCTTCTCTTCCCGAAAATCGGCTAGCCATTTTCTATACCCCTCCCGAGCCGTGTAGTTACCATCCTTGCTTTCCGCCCATATCAGCCGATCACTATCGCCCAAAGCTCGGATCGGGATCTGTCTAATCAACTCTACCACATCTGTTGGAAAGCAGCTCTCTAGTATCGTCTCATCCCACTTCTCCAAGTCTTCATCAATCAAATTCCGGACCGATGCATCAACGGGTAACGATCCAAGGAGCAGACTGAATGTTATATCCTGGAGCCGTCGGAACCCATCGATCGCCCCACACCCGCACAGACGTGCCGTTTCCAATCCTCCACCTTAGCCCCGCCACCAGAAACTCCTGAGCACTCATAAGGCTCCTCCATACATAACTTGGCCTATGACCTAGCTTAGCGTCAAGGATTGAGTCATGCTTATGATACTTTGCTCGGAGCAAACGTGAAATCAAGGAAGAGGGTCGTTGGTTGAGGTTCCAAAGCTGGCGCTCAAGAAGGGAGGTGTTAAAACCCCGTAGATCACGGAAGCCCATTCCTCCCTCCGATTTCGGTCAAATCAGACTTTCTCGAGCTATCCAAGGGATCCCTGACCCTTTACCTTTTTTACCCCACCAGAACCGCATGATCATACCATGAATATCATCAATAATCCCATCCGGTACCTTGAAAACCGACATTGCATACGTCAACTGTGCTTGGGCAACTGACTTAATGAGGACTTCCCTCGCCGCAACTGACATTATCCTTTCCTTCCACCCCGCAAGCTTCTTCCGAACTATCTCCTTCAGGAAAGTGAATAGTTCCTTCTTCGAATGGCCTACTTGTGTCACCGATCCTAGGTACTTGTCATATTTCTCAACAATACGCATACCCAGGATAGTTCCCACTTGGAGGCGTTGAAATGAGGCCGCACACTTGCCCCAAACACGACTTCTGATTTCTCGAGACTCACCAACTGGCCTGACTCTTTTTCATAGTCTTGTAGGATACGTCTCAGCTCCAAACTCTCTTGTACTGTGGCCCTAGCAAAAAAGATAGAGTCATCAGCAAAAAAGAGGTGGGAAATCACAGGGGCACCCCTAGTGATTTTGAGACCATGGATCTTTTTTTCCTGCGCCGCCTTCAACGTGTAGGATGAGAGGCCTTCTGCCACTAATAGAAATAGATAAGGGAAGAGGGGATCGCCCTGTCGAATCCCTCTACCAGGATAGAAAGTCTTTGTTCGATTTCCATTAAGCAGGACAACATAGGTAACAGAACGGACGCTCAGCATCACCATCCTGATCCACTTTCCTTCAAAACCCATACAGCGCATTACTTCCTCTAGGAACCACCATTCCACCCTGTCATAGGCTTTCGCCATATCAGTCTTAGACGCAAAGTACCCATGCTTGGCCTTTGTCTTCTTCTTCATATAGTGAAAACATTCAAAAGCCGCCATTACATTATCAGCAATGTACCGTCCAGGGACAAAGGCACTTTGCTCCGGCGAGATAATATTGTCTAAAAGGCTCTTCAACCTATTCGCCAAAGCTTTCGCTAGCATTTTATACATCACATTACACAAACTAATAGGCCGGAACTCCTTAGCCATTTCCGGATCCTTAACCTTCGGGATGAGGGCAATCAGTGTGTGATTAAGTCCCGGAGGCATGGTTTCTGACTCAAAAATCTCAAGCAGAAGTGTTGTAACATCATCACCAATAATATGCCAGTATTTTAAGAAGAAAAGCACTGAGAGTTCATCATCACCGGGCGCTTTCCTCTTACCCATCTGCCGAAGAGCAAAGAGGAGTTCTTCTCGGGAAAGCGGTTTGGTCGGCATACCATTCTCTTCCAATCCTACGCGCGGAGTGATTGAATCCAGCACGGGGGTGTTCAACGGCCTTTCCCCTGCTGTAAAGAGATCTCAAAAATAATTATTAAGACAAGCAGCCACCTGTTCGCTTCCATTCCACCATTGGCCATTAGCATCCTTCAGTTTCCTCGCCGTATTTCTTCGTCGTCTAGCTGACACTTTCCTGTGAAAAAAATTGGTGTTTTTGTCTCCCTCTCTCAGCCAATCGGCTCTTGATCGTTGCTGCCAGTAAAGCTCCTCATCACTCTCCAGCTCATCCAACTCCAGCTACAATCTAGCCCGTTGATCAAGGACTTCCTGTGTCTTCTCTCGACGGTCAAGCGCTTTGAGTGCTCGCCTGATCTTTGCTTTCTGCCTACAAAATTTTGGAAAGGCTTCCCTACTCCATCCATCCAAGCTATCTCTCACCTGGACGAGTTTTGCAAGGGCATTTCCATGAGTGGAGCTCCACGCAGTAGCAATTTTGTTTTCACAATCCTCATGCTTTGTCCATTGGGCTTCAAACCGGAAAGAATACCCCCACCGAATCTCCTCATCCTCCTCCCCTAACGAGTCACACACAATCGGGCGGTGGTCAGATCGGGTTTCGTCGAGATGGAGAACTCGTCCATTGCCCCACTTCCCCCGCCACTCATCGTTTGCAACAAACCGGTCCAGACGCTCCTCAACATAGCCTCCAACCTTTCTGCGGTTTTCCCATGTATAGGGGTATCCATTAAAACCAAGGTCTTGTAACCGACAGTCTGAAAAAGCAGCCATCTCAGCTTCTGCGACCACGTTTCCACCTTTTTTCTCATGATTAGAGGTAATTTGGTTAAAGTCACCCCCACACAGCAACGGCCGGACCACTGCAATGCCAAGGATCGAAGTAGATCCCAGGTATGATACTTCTCACTTCCTCCAGGCCAACCGTAAATTCCCGTAAATCTCCAAACCCCTCCATTAGGTTCTTCCACCTTCATATCCATGTAGTGACCATCTCCATTCATAAACGTTAAGTTCACATCTTCCTTCCACCAAACACTCAGACCACCCGCCCTTCCTCGTCTCGATACATCACATGGCCTGCTCACCCCATGCGCAAATCCCAAACTCAGCCTCGTCGCTGCATTCTCATCAACTAATTGTCGGGTCTCCATAAGGAACACGACCCGTGGGGAAGCATGCCGCAAGAGCGACTTCAAAGCTCTAACTGCCCGCGTGCTTCCCAATCCACGGCAGTTGTAGCTAAGAAGTCTCATATGGAAACAGAAGGGGATCGGTTCCCCGCACCATCAGCTTGTGAGTGTGATTTAGTCATCATCGTTTCTTTTTTCTTTGCCGCACCGTTACCACCACCAGCCTTGTTCGACGGCTTCAGGTTCACACCAACACCCTTACCACCTTGTAAACCCCCACCATCTGTATCTATCTTAGCTGCGATCGTACCCTTAGATTGTTTATGTTGTTGGTTTTGTATCGGCCCTGCTTTGCCCATCACATCCATACCTTCCTTCTCCTTATGTCCACCAGTTGTACCCCCCGCCATATTTGTGTTTGGCGTCATTTTAGTATTCCCTGCATGTACTTGCCCTTGTAACATTGCATGGGGAGCTTGCTTAGTTGCATGGGCAACCTTATCTCCTGTCTCTACTACAGTCTCATCCCCACTTCCCTTCTTACCATCAATGCCTTCCGCTAACCCATCATCAATTTGTTCCTCTTCCCCAAATACATGGAACCGATTACCCACATTACTCCTCCCTATTACCGGCTTCTCCCCAGAGACCCATCTTTCCGGTCTACGCTCCTTTCTCTTAACCACCATCCAGTCCCCATAAGTTTTCCCATTAGTTGGGTCAGCCCCACGTGCCTCCATTTCCACACCACCCATTTCCGCCTCCATATCTTGGTGTTGTTTGCATTGGCAGTGATCAGTTGATTTACCATAGCTTCCGCAATTTGTTCAGATTGACTCCAGGCCCTCATATTGGATCAAGTATGTGACCCCCTCTACTTTATATTG